CCTTGGCCCAAAAAGTCATAAGTATGTGACTGAAAAAATGTCACTCAAGTCCAGACCCCCAGCAACTGTAAGGCCCACCAGAAGGCTTTCAGATCAGACTGTGACTCCCTTAGACTGAAAACTTCAGCATCTCTGAAGTCAGGATGTGTTTCAGTCTAAGGGAGTCACTGTGTGATCGGAAGGCCTTCTCCTTGGTGGTGCGAGCAAGAGTGGTGGGCCTGGACCCTCATGTGTCCCCAGCGTGGGTCTCCGCAGCAAGAGCTGGGCCAGGCTGCTCTGTGAGCGGAGGGGGGAAGACATGGGTGGCGGCCGCTGGAAACAGAGGATTAAGTACTTACTTTATGCAATTGAAAGCTGATAGATAAAGGATGTCAGCAATACCATTCCTCTTTATAATTAAGAAGATAACTTAATTACTGCTATTAAAACCTAAGCTTCTCCCCCATGTGGGCTGCTTTTCATAGAATACCTTTGGTTCTGCTCTTCCCCACACACAGACCTGGCAGCAGTTAAATAGAGGCGCAGAGACTCCAAAGGTTCATCTTGTGAACCCATCTGGTTTGAAGTAGTACGACAAGCAGGGAAGGGAATTGAATCAAAGGCAAGATTTGTGTGTTTTTTTCAATACAGTGTGGGGTAGACCAGGAAATAGTCCCATCCTCCGCTCCCAGGGCTGGGTGCCGCCACTGGGCTGTGGGGCCATGTCCCCTGGCCTGCTCCCCAGCAGTGCGCATGTCACAATACAGAGGCGGCTGTGGGGGTGAGGGAGATTGGGAAGGAGGCAGTGGGGATCAGATTTGTGCGGAGGCATCAGATGTGCCCAAATAGATGCCCGGTCCTGTCCCCCGGCACCTATGAAACCGCACAGCCTCATCGGAACCCACAGAGGAGGAGAGGAGGTCCCCACTGCTCGCATGGGCCTTCACCATTCATACCACTCCCACAGGGCATGGGTCAGCACCCCAGCATTAAGAGGAAACTGAGGCACAGAGGCTATGGAACCTGGGAGGTGTGCTCTCCCTGGCACCCAGCTCCAGGTTGGGCCACTGGAATCATTCCTTTTGTCCTAGAAGAAGCTCCTTGGGCCCCCACCCCTCCCTCTACTGGCTCTGCTGGCTCTGCCCCTGGCAGCTGTGGCCCCGTGGAATTCTCTAGTGCTCACGCGCTTTGATCTGCAGCACACCCGGAGATCAGTGCCTCCCATTCACCCAACCGTCGCAATACAAGTCCCACACACTCTTTGGACTTCCTCAGCCAGAGGGAAGTGGCGGCTGAAGCCCCACAACCAGGCTTTCTCTTCCTCTGCCATGCCAGACGCCCCCATCCACGCCAGACCCCCCCCCCACCCACACCAGAACCTCTGTGTACTGCCTCTGCACCCCAAATGCTTCCCTGTGTAACCAGCCCCTTCAGGTTGTTTGTCATCATAGACCTGTGTCCACATCTGCTTGTGCCCTATGGCTCACTGACGTGCTTGCTTGGGGCACTTTCTCTTTGTCCCTATAAAGGTACCTAATGCTGTCCAGCTATACTTAGTGGTAGTACAGGGGCGCGGTCCCATTCCAGAGGGACCCTGCACCATCCAGAGCCTGTGGATGAGACCCTGTGGGCTGGGCTGTGGGGTTGTTAGAGTGCTCGTGAATTGGGCTCTTGGAATACCTAGATGAGAGGAGGTGGCAACCATAGAGCTTGCCAGAGTGCCTGGCACTTGGTAAGTCCTGTAAAAATGCCAGTAATTTATATTGGGGTATTCCACACACATCTCCAGCCTTCCTGGGATCTGGAAGGTTTATGTCAAAAACAGAGGCTCCAGCACTGGAGGAAAGCAGGACAGCAGGCCCTATCTGTAGCTATGGTCTGGTCTTCCTCCTTTATTTTTTATTTCATTTCATTTTCTCTATTTATTTTAGGCAGAGAGAGAGAAAAGGAGAAAGAGGGGAGGGGGCTGGGGAGAGACACAGAGAGAGAGAGAGAGAGAGAGAGAGAATCCCAAGCAGGCTCTACACTCAGCATAGAGCCCACTTGGACCATGACTTGAGCTGAAATCAAGAGCTGGATGCTCAACCAACTGAGCCACCCAGCACCCCTGGTCTTTCTCCTCTAAAAACAGTGAGCTGGGCTGCTGAGGGTGTTGTCACACCACACCCCAGGGTCTTGGATCCCCTAGACCCCTTATGTGGGACCCAAAGGAGCAAAGAGGGCAGTGGACAGGCCCCACCCCTCCTCAACTTAGTCAAGAGTTTACCTGTTTCATCCATCACATGTCCATTGTTTTTCAAGGGTTGGGGAGTCTGGGGTCCCTGGACCAAACTTCTGAGGTCCTTTCTAATCCAAGTTCTTGTCCTCCTGAGTTGGCAGTTGGATACTTGGAGACAAGTGAAGGGAGCAGAACAGGACCTCTGGGCCAACTGGGGAACCCAGAGGAAGACACTGAGGCACAAGCACATGAGGAAGCAGGTCAGATGGGACCTGAGACCCACACAGGGCAGCACATCAGCTCATGGAAGGGGTAGGCCAGGTGTGCTCCAAGAGGAGCCCAAAGCAAGGGACACAGAAGCTGCCAGGACAGTGGCTTCACAGGGAAGCCAGGGACTGTCTGGGGTAGCTGCCCATGGGAGTGTCAGTCTCACACAGCAGGCAGTGCTGACAGCGCTGTTGGTGCTCACCAGGCACTTGTTTCAGGAATGAGTGACCAAGAGGGGCTCTGAAATGAGCAGCCCCCAGCAGAAGCTGGGGGACCCGGGCCACCCTTCCCTCACCCCCTTCCCAGGATGGAAGGTGGGTGACAGCAATCTGCTGAGGTGGTGTATGGCCTACATGACACAGGACTGCCCGGAGGAACAGCCTCGCCTGCAGTGCTGGGCACCACAGCATCCATCATCCTAAAGCAACCGAGTGCCCTTGATAGGAGACTGGACACTGGTGAGCGGGAAGAACTGACGGGTGGGTGGCAGCGTGGGCCAGCCCTGCCACACCACGGAGCAGCCGGCGCCCTGCTTCGTGATCCCCTTTGTGAGAAGTTCTTAAGCCGGGCAAACTCATCTGCGGGGGCAGAGGGTAGAAAACCATGCCTGTGGGGGGCTGTTTCCCCAGCGCAGGGCAGCCCTCCTCTGCAGTGTCCAGCGAGCTGACCTGCGGCACATGTGCTGTTCAGCACTTGGAATGCAGCCAGCGAGGAACCGAATGTTTCATTTTATTCTGTTTTTGTTAACATGTAAGTGGCCCACTGTGGCTAGCAGCCAGCATGTCGGACAGCGGTGCAGCGCTCTGCCTTGAGTGGGTGATGATCACGGGAGCAGGTCCACATGCAGGAGGCTGGCAGGCTGCACACCGGAGACCCGTATGCTCAGCTGCAACCTCTCAGCTGCAAACAGCCGCACCATCATTGGTTCAGAAGGGAGCGTCTTCTCATTTTAGCTTTAAATGAGACCAAGGTGGAGCTCTCTCCAACTGTGGTTCTCAGCCCCTGCCACTCACCACAGCCTGAGTGTTGAAAGTGGGCAGAGGAAGAGCGCGGCCTCAGGATCACAGTAGGCCCTGGAGGGGTGTCCAGCACATGCAGGAGAGGCTAGCCCTGGCGGGCACAGCCCATCACTCCTGCGGGCCTTCCAGGACGAGAAGGGATGCAGGGCGCATCTGTGGCACCAACAGGCTGCATGAGTGGGGAGCTCAGCGGTGCATGTTGCTCACCCAGCGGGAGGTGTGCAGCAGGTGGTAGCAGGGTGTCCATCAGGGATGGGTGTCCAGAGCCGCCCTTAGGAGTCCATGAAGCTGTGTCCACAGAGCCCACTAAATCACCGGCTGCGTCTTCACACCCTGGCACTAGATGACCTTTGAAGCTTTGGGGGATCTGGGCTCCAGAGCTCATTCCTCAGCAGCCTTGGTCACCCTTTGTAGACCTGGCTCACGGAAACACTTTCTGCTGTCCAACTGCTAAGATGTCAACCACGTCACACCATCAGGGTGAACACATCGGGAAGAAACCATCCAGTCTAGGAGGGACACTGGGAAATTACTGGCTGTGCCAGGGAGAGGTGGCACCAGCTTGCAGCAATTGCCACAAACATACTGGGACAGACACAGAAGGGGGATAGAACCTCAGCCACTTGCATTTCCCGTCCATCGTGTGTCCAAGTTAGCAGCCTTGACGTTGACCGGTTGTCAGCTTTTCCTGCCTGGACTCAGGAAGGGAGGGATCAAAGGGTTCCTCTGGCCCCATCCCTGGTGTTGAGTTAATGGGGAGAGGTCCCTCACCACCTGGCCTGGGAAAAATGCTTCACAGACAGGTTTCAAGATGACTCATGACCACTGTCATTGTACCCCCTGTCCAGGTCACTCCGTGGGGACATTCACAGGGAACAAAGTCAATAAACAGGGGAAAACACGGGTCTGGGCTAGGTCCAGCCAGGGGAAATGCTAGAACAGCAGAACTGCCTGTTTTTGTCTTTCGATGATCAGAGTCAGAGCTTCTCCCCTTCCCAGCCCCCAAATGGCAGTGTCCTGTCGTGATGGTTATTTCCAGCTTCCGTGGAAAAGCACCCAGGACAGGCACCGGTCCTGAAAACAGGCCAGGAGTGCCTGCCTAAATCCTAGAGGAGGGACAACTGCCGGCCAGAATGAAGTAAAAAGACCCTGTGCACACCTGGGGCTGAGGCTGAGCCCCGGTACTTTCAGCCTGGGGGCGGGTGGGATGAAGCTGCAAGGCGGCAGTGGGGGCGGGGAGCTGGCTGGCAGAGCCGGGAGGAGACCCTGGGAGCGAACCCAGTTGGGGCCACAGCAGAGGGGGCGGGGAGAGGACGGAGAGGGGCGTGGCCGAGAAGAGGCTCTGGAAACCAGCCGGGAGAAGGTGCTGGGAGGGCACTGTAGGGACTCCCGCTTCGCAGCGGCCTGTGGGGATTGGAGCTGGGGAGACCCCGAAGTCCCCGAATCGACTGGACTCCCTCTCCCCGACATCCCCCGTGCGATCTAACTGGACGCAAATAAATGGACACGCAGGCAGCTTCCAAAAGAGGCGAAACCTTTATCAAGTCGGCGCCGGCGCAGTATCTACAGTATCTACAAATATCTACACGTATCTACACCGCCTGCAGACGGGCTCTCGGGTCGTCTACACTGCAACTGCCGGCCGGGCCGGGGAGGGGCGAGGGGGGCGACGCGGTCTCGCGGAGAACAATAAATATCACTTCCTTCCGCCGCTGACCGGGCGCTTTGGCACTGGCGGGCGCGGACCCCGTGGCCCTCGGGGCTGGGGAGGGACCCGCGGTGGCTCCCGGGACTGGGGAACCATATACTTCGACAGCTGTCGGGGTTGGAGAGTGGAGGACCCAGACGGCTTCGAGGCTAGGGAAGGGGAGACCCGCACTGGCCCCCGGGGCTTGGGGGAACGTGTTCTTGGAAGGCCCTTGGGGCTGGGTGGACGGGAACCCCGACGGCCCTCAGGGCTGTGCGGGGACCCCGGGCGGGGAGCGGCCAGCGGGCGCCCGCATTATCTGGGGCAGTAGTCGTAGGAGCCGGGCGGCGCTGCCCCGGCCGACGAGTACATGTTGGCGGCGGCGGCTGCAGCGGCGGCGGCGGCGGCGGCAGCTGCGGCGGCTGGGCTCACGGCTGGGTGATGGTGGTGCGGGTGCGCGTGTGTGTGCGGGTGGTAGCCGTGGCCGCGCAGGCCTGGCAGGGGGTAGGGCGCCGGTCGGCTCTTGGGCCCGAGGTAATGGTCGTAAGCGGCAGCCGGGTACTTATAGGGGTGATGGTGCAGCGGCTCCGACGCGCCGGGCGCCTCCAGGCGCAGCTCGGGGTGCGGAGGGCTGGGCCGGCCTCCGGGCGCACCCGGCAGCGGGACGAGGCCGCCGGCGCCGCCGGCCCCGGGCAGCGCTGGGCTCAGCACCCGTGCCAGCAGCTGCGGCGGGTGCGCCGGGTCCCCGAGCACTGCCGGTCCACCCGCGTCGCGCTCGAATTCTCGCCGAGCCTCGGCCGCTTCTGCGGGGAGGGCCGAGGGGTAAGCGCGGCGGCTCGGGACGGCAGAGGAGACCCGCGAGCGCCCCACCGGTCCTGGCGGGGAGGGGGCACAAGCCCGCGCTCGGACGCTCCCGGCCCCTTCTCGCCGAACCTGCCGGAGACCCGGGGCCTCCCCGGGGGCCCGCGCCCCTCCACCGACTGCAGGCGGGGCGGGCGGGGCGCAGCCGTCGGGCCGGGCGGGCGAGTGAGCGCTTGCCCGCCGCCACGGCCGTTGTGCAACCGGCGCGAAGGCCGCGAGCGCCCCTGGGGCGCAGGCGAGGCCAGGCTCGGCCGCCTGCCCGGGGCGGGGCGCGCGCGGGGCCGCGGCCCCGATCCCACGACCCCGGCCCTACCTTTCTCTGCGCCGTTGGGCTGCGTGGGGGAGGCCACCGGGTTCCGCGAGCGAGCGAAGGCGCTCATAAGCGGCAGCGCGCCGGGCCGGTGGTTCCGGGGCCTGCGGGAGGGAGAGGGGCAGCGAGTCAGGGGAGCGTCCCGCTGGTCTCCCCGAACTGTAGCGATCCCTTCATTGGACACTCACCAGTCCTCCGGATCGCAGTCTCGAAAGCCTTTGGCGAAAGGGTTGCTGGCTATCTTGAGCTGCGTGATCTGCGGAGGGTTGGGGGAGCGAGCATTGAGCCAGTGGCTGGAGCCCCAGCGCTGGGGCCTGGAGCACCAGGGTAGTGTAGCGTTAGAAGGGGCTCCCACAATAAGAGCCCCTTTACTCTTCTGGGACAATAACCCTCCCACATTTACTCTCCCACACTGAGAGTTGTGCCTTTCTTCTGCCAAAGGGGGAGCTTCCTTTCTCGCTAAGGATCCCCTTTGTGGCCCCAAGTGATTGGGATGGAGACCCAGTGCCCCTGGCTGAGTTGGGAATGTAGTCACCTCCACCGCCCACCCCACAGTAGGGGAGGGGGATGCCCTAGGAATTTGGATAAACCGTGGATCAGGCCCCTGATGGGGAGTTTCCGGAATGGTTTGGAAAACAAACTTTCAGGCCGCACTGACAGTTGCCGCTGGAGAGGTCAACCTGATAGGAGTCTGGGCTGGCCTGCCGCAGAGGGGAGGAGGCCTTTGAGGGTGGGACTCCATCGTGTTGTGTTCCACCAGGACCCACAGCCTTTGGGTCCAGACCTCTTTCCCTCAGGCAGCAACTGCACAGTGCAACCCAGAAGTATTGAATTTGCACATCCCCAGGGTCTCACCCGATGGTTCTGGTAAGCAGTGACCGCAGTGAAGCGAGTCTCCTCAAACACAAAGGTTTTAAAGTTCTCCTCAGCGTATTTCTCACTATCTTTGCGTGGGTCCACATAGACAACGTGGAAGCGGGGCTGGTATCTGTGCATGGAGTTGAGAATAATCTGGAAGACAAGGTGGCAAGTTTGGAACTAGGAAATGGGCAAAGGTCCATAGAAGCAGCAAATTTCTCTGAACTTGGTCAAAGCCCTTAACTTCCGAAATGAGGTCCAGCCGTGGGGCTCAAGCGGAGACTGCAGTCAACTAAATGGGGACCACCAGGGAAGACCCCCCCAAATGGCAAAAGATCAGGGTTTAGATTCTTTTTCCGTAGGTCCGTCAGAACTACTTCAGGCCTACAACAGGCAGTGGTAGGCGGCTGCAGGCCAATGCTTAGCCCAGCAGGAAAGCGGCATCATCCGCCTGGATTCTACAAAGCCTTCTGCCGCTCCCCCCACACCCCATCCTTCCCAGTTAAAAAACAAAAAACAAAAACAAAAACTCCAGCAAAAGAGCCAGAATGGAGTGAGGGAAGCAAGGTGACAGACAGCCTCTCCCAGGCCCGAGAGCCACCAGACCCTGAGCCCCTGGCCGGAGGGGCCCACTCTCCTCAGCCTGTCCTTCATTCACAGCCCAAGCTCGGCCTCTAGCTCTGGTCAACAGGGACTCCGGAGGGCCTGCCCCGGGTAGCCTGGGGATGTGGGAAGATTGCTCACATGGCCGTTGTCGTCCAGCAGGTTGTTGGTCAGCTTGAGCTTATCGAAGGACACAATTTGCTTCATCCACTGCGCACCCTTGGCAGGCGAGTCGGGGTGGTAGTGTACACGGCCTGGTGTGGCAGGGTCCGCCTTCCCGGCCACTAGCCAGGAGGAGCTGTGGAAGGCGTACCTGGGGCAACACCAGAACAGGGGTCATGCCATGGAGAGTGAGCAGAGAGGGCCTTGACGAGTGAACCCCAAAAGTGCCTCTAATGAGTTTTCCTATCATCGGTGAGCTCGAGCCTTCGGCTACCACACAGACTGGGAGCTTTTCCGAGGGGAATTGGGAAGAAAACGGAAAACTCCCTCCAGTCCCAGTACACAAGACAGCAGGAAGCCAGGCCCCAAGGGAGGAGGCTGGGCTCCGGGCGCCACAATTCGCTGCACGCGGGTCTGCCTGCTCCGGGCCTCCCCACCGCCGCCTCCGGTGTCGCCTGCGTGGCGGGAGCCCGGATTTGGTAGCGCCGGAGGCCTCAGGCGCAGGGCGGACCACGTTCTCTTTATTAATTGCTGTTAATTGTCCGGGCAGAGAGGCCCGCCCAGCATAATCTCTCCCGGCCACCCCACCTTTCCTGCTGGCTCCCAGCGTTCCCGGGGGATGGGGGAAGGGGACAAGGTGCCCACGCTCACCTCGTGGGAGAAGGAGGCATGAAGAAAGGCAGGGGGCCTGTGTGCAAGGGGCCTGCCTGCCTCGGGCCAAGCTGGCCCAGGGGCGTGGGAGCTGTCTCGGGCTTAGAGCTGGCGGAGGGGCCCAGCCTGTGCGACTCCCGAGGGGAGAAGCGCTAGGGGTGGGGTGTGTGGGTCTGGGGTCTGACAGGGTTGGGGAGGGAGCAGGTCACAGGGGACGGTGGCGCCTGCGGTGCAGGTGCCTGGGACTCCCAGTCACAAACGTCCTTGTGGGCTGCCCTCAGAGGCATCACCAAGCAGGGACCAGCCGCTTCCCAGGGCACCCGCCCTGGTTCTGCTGGGCGCTCACCGGTAGCGCTTGTCGTCCACTGGAACGAAGTCCATGAGGAGCATGTAGTCGGCCATGGGGTCCATGCCGAAGAGCTTCACTTGAAACGTGGGGAACATGCGCCTGGGGGCGGCGAGGCCTCCGGTCACCTCAGGTGGCGGAGGGCAGGGCTGCCCCACCTTGACCGACCCAGGACAGGCGGCTTCCTGCCGGCTGCTGCGTTCATCGGCCTGGCCCCTCCATCTCCTCTCCTCTCACTCAGCTACTCTAACCCAACTAGGCCCATGCTCAGCCAAGGGCAAGTAGAGGGGCAGAGTAGTCCCCTGCTCCCTTTTTCAAAACCCCGAAGTGGTTCATTAAACACTACAGCTGAGCCTCCACACACCAGCCCTGGTCTATGGCTTCTTCTGCCACATTTGCCTGCGTAGAGACAGCCTAGCATTTGCTAATTCTCGGCTGTTCAGTCCAGAGCTAGCCTCAGCCGGCAGCACCGGATCAGCAAGACTCCTAAGATGTGGTCCCAGAGATTCTCAGCCCTCCAGAGAGCTTCCCCCAGCTCCATCTAAGCGACCGATGTAAACTCCCGGCTCGAACAAAATGAAACCAGGGGACTCTTATGTGGTTCCCAGGAGTCCCAGTTGCCCTTTCGGCTGGGTCTGTGGGGCTGCTGCCCGATCCCTCCAGTGAGGCTGAGGCCTCAGAGCCCACAGGCCCAACTTTTAGGCCCCGTCTCCAGCCCGATGCTGGAGTCTCTCCATCTTCCTCAGGGATACACACAAATTCCCCGCCGCCACACACACCCCACTATTGGCCCCGGACAGACGCAGCTACTCTGGGAGACCTTGGCTTATGCTCTCATGTCCCCTAACTCTCCCCTCCCCCAGACTCCGACTCTATGACCCATCTAGGCTCTTGAAAGGACATTCTGCAGCTCCTGGTTGGGCCCGCCAGCCGGGGGCTGGCCCTGTCCTGAGAGCACAGCAGTGCCAACCACTGGGCCCTGGAGGACAGCATGAGGTTTGGCTCCCACCTGCCCTTCCTACGGCTTTGCTTCATAGGCACCTCCCTGTAGGCAGTGGGCAAAAAACAGATGCCACGGAGCCGGCCCTCCTGGTCAGACCTGCCACCCCCACTTTTGCAGGCTGGTGGGTGCCGCGGAATGCTGGCTTCTGGGGTGAAGCCTGGCCACCACCAAGGCCCTTGCTGCACTGGACTGGCCTAGAGGCTGGGGTGCGTCCTCAGGGGACAGTAAGGAGAGCCTGGAGAAGACCTGCAGAACTGAAGCTGAGCACAGGCCCCAGGATCCCTAGGGAGGACAGCCGTGGCAGGGAAACAGAAACCACGAGAAGGCTCTGCAAACAGGCCCTGAGTTCCCCTTGGCTGTGCGGACGCAGAGCTGGTGTCTCCGTGTGTACATTAGACACAGCCCGGCACCCGCCTTTGTCTGCTGGTCAAATCGGTTGCATCGCAAAACTTGTTCCCCTTCTCTCTGGGCCCTTAAAACAAATACAGGCCAATTGGAAGGCGGCAGCCCCAGCAGCAACCGCCAGGCCCCACAATCACCCGAAATTTAGGCCGGAAAAAAACTGGGTAACAACCTTCACGGAAGAGAGCATATTGTTTTTAAGGGTCTTAACTTTCCCTTAAAATTTTCCAGACAGTTGCCCAACTGCTCCCTCTTTACCTAACCCGTATAGATTGAACTGGGGAACTAAAGACGTGAATTTCCTTTGAGGTGGGATCCACTGGGAGCCGGCTGGCTGGCGAGGCCGCTCAGGGGCGGCTGCCTAACCCCTAGCTCCGTGTGTTCCGAGCCGGCCCAGGCTTCCGGCCGCGGGCGCCTTGGGGCAAGCCGGTCCGCCGGGCTTCTCTCCACCAGCCTTCCGAGGCTGCCCGCGCCGTCCCCTCCGGCCCCGCTCGGCGCGTCAGGCGGCTGTCGCTGGAGCCGGGACCGCAGAGAGCGAAGAGCCGGCTCGCGCCTAGAGGGGCCCGCAGGTGGCGGGGCCGCGCCCCCCACCCCGCTTCTCGACCCCACTCGCGTGGATCAGACCGAGGCGCGCTGCCCGAGACCCGCGCCACGTGGGGAGGGTCGCGGGCAAGGGGGGGGGGCACCCTGACCTGCCGGCCTTGGTGACGATCATCTCGGTGCCCAGCTGATTGAACTCGTCCCACAGCGCCTTCATCTCCAGCTGCACGCTCACGCTGGCCACCTTCGCGTTCTTCTTCACCGGCGCCTTGGCGGCGGCCGCGCAGCTGGCCGCGGGGCCCTCGGGCTCGGCGGCGGCGCTGGTGGCGGCCCCAGCGGCCGGCGCGAACGGATAGGCGTGCGGCGGCGGGCCCGGGGCGCCGGGGGCGGCGGCGGCGGCGCACGGGTCGTAGCGCGGCGGCGGCGGGGGCTCGCGCGGGCCGTACGGGTCGGCGCCCGGCGACGCGGCGCCCGGGAAGCCCCCCGCGGCCCCCAGGCTGCTCAGGCTGCTGGCCGTGAAGGCTGCAACGTCGCAGAAGTGCGAGAGCTGCGTGAGCCACGGGCTGGACACGGCGGAGATCATGACCCGCGGGCCGCCGCCGCCGCCCCCGCCGCCGAGGTGAGCGCTGCCCCGCGCCCCGGGCCGAGTGGCGGGCGCTGAGCTGCGCCCGGGGCCGCGCCGCCCTACACCGCGGGCCGGCCCCGAGGAGGCGCCCCGCCCCGCCCCGCCCCACGCCCCCCCCCTCAAGCGCCGAGACAATGGCCTCCCTCCCCTCCCCCGTTCCTCGCCCCTCCCCCGCTCCTTCCCCCCTCCCCGGCCCCCAGCCCGCCCGCCGCGGCTCGCTCGGCCCGGGCCCCCCGACCGCCCGGACCGGCTCCCCAGAGCGCCGGGCCGCCCGCCGCCCCTCGCTCTGCCGCCCTCCCGCGTTGCATTTCTCCTTTCTCTCTCCAGGCTCTTTTTCCAATTTGTTATTTCTTTACCTTTGTGTTCCTCGTTGAAATTTCCCTCCTAATCCTCTTTCCTTCTTCCACTATCTCTTTCGTTTCTCTTTATTTCTGTGTCATTTTTCTGCCTTTCTTTTTCCAGTCCTGTCCCTCTCCTTTCTTTCCACTTCATTTTTCATCACTTCGTTTTTCTTCCCAGTCTGCCTTTTGCCTCTTCTTTCTCTAGGTCTTTTCCTGTTATTCAGGGGGTTTTCCTCTTTTTTTAAAAACAAAATAAAAACTGGAGGTTTTCTCTAGCTTTTCCCTTTTTTGATGCCTTTATTTTTCGTCTTAAAATTCCCTTCACTTTCTTCTTTTTCGTTCTCGCTCTCTTTACTTCTTTTTCATCTTTCTCACTTTTCCTACCTTCCTTTCTGGGTGTTTGTGTTTTTTTCTCTTCTCAATTTCTTTTCCTCCTGGCTGCGCTCACCTCTCTCCCTCTCTGTCACTCTCGTCTCTCTCTCTCTCTCTCTCTCTCTCTGTTTCTCTGTCTCTCATTTGCCTGGGTTCCCAGACTCTACGGCACTCTCCTCTCCTGCCAACTTCCCTCCACCTCTCCCAGCTTGCGGCCACCTCTGGCTACCTCTGCCCCCTTTCCCCGGTCCTTCTCAATCCTGTCCTTTCTGGTTTCCACCAGTCCTGTTCAGGGCCGGTGCCTAGCTCCTTGTGGGTCTCTGCAGCTGGATTCCCAGGCTGGAGGGTGCACAGGCTTTGGGCAGGATGCCTGCCCTTCCTCTCTACTCCAGAGTCACTGGAAGCCTGGAGCCCACCCCGCCAGAGCTCCCTCCACCCTCTCTGTGCCAGGGTCCTGCCCACACTATTTGCTAGGGCCCCAAGGCAGCTGTGGCAGGGGGTCGGCCGGCGGGTCCCTGTGGACACAGCGGGGAGGCTCACCTTCCATATCCCTGGTGACGGTGCTGAAGTGCATCCCGGCCGGGGATCCCAGCAGCCGGCGAAGCTTCGCCTGGTCGGAGGACCGGGGGCCCAGGCGAGCCTTGCGCTCTACGGCCTCTGCTGCAACCAGAGAGGCGATGCTGAACGCGCTGGCCCGGGGAGACAGCGGGCTCCGCGCGTCCATAGGCGCCCGGCGGCCTGGCCGGCGCCGCCTCCGACTGCGTGCACCCAGCCGCACCGAGGCCGGCCCAGCCCACGGGACCCGGGGGCGGGGGCCTGCGGTGCCACTCACAGCCTCCAGCCCTGGGCCCAAGGGATTATGGCGTCACGGCCCCCCACTCTGGGCCGGTGGCAGCCGAGGGGCCCAGATGGGTGGAGCGCCCTGGGAGTGTGGGGCCCTTCTGCTTTTCAAGCTCCCTGCCCCTGGCCTCTGCTCCCAGGGACCTCGGTGACCAGCGCCCTTCGAACATCCCGCTGTTCCCACCGAGGCGGGGGTTCCCTCTGTCCAGCGAAACCACCGAAGCCACCGTCGGCTTCTACAGTCCCCGAATGGAGGCAGCTACACGAGAGCGCCCAGCCTCAGCCTGTGTCAGTGGGGCACCGATGGATCACCGTGGGGAGGCCTGGATTGGCCTTGCCCCTGCCCTCGGCCCCTCCCGCCTCCTCCTCCCTGGCTGCCCCTGCACCTGGGTGAGGAGAGGGCAGCTCGGGATCCGGCACTGGCCACAGGCGGACAACACCAGAGCTGTGGCGTCGTCTGTTCCTCGGCGCGGCGGAACAGGACCCAGCCCAGCAAATGCCCCCCCAACCCCCTTCAGTCGGCTCACTGTCGTGGGGACCCCAAGCAGAGGGACGCCGCCCAGGCCGCGCAGCCCGGGAGCCCGAGCGTCACGCGCAACCGCGCGCACCGCCCGCCTCTGGCCAGGACGCTTATACATCCGGAGGGTGGGCAGTGCCCGCTCCTCCGACCTCCCCGCGCACCGGCCGGGCGCAGGGAGGGCCGGGGGCGGGGCCTGGACTGGCCCAGGGAGCCGAGGACACGTCGGAGGAGTTCAGGCCGCCGGGTCGGATTGTATGCTGCCCCCTGCCACCCACCCTGCATTCAGCCTGCCCACCTGGTTAGGCCTGCTGCCTTGGTGCCCAGCCAGGCCAGCAGAGTGAGGCAAGGCCCACCCTGAAGCTTCAAGGCCTCTAGGCCCAGGCATCCGGGACACTAAGGCCTAACTTGGCTTGTGCCTTCCCCCACACCTACTGCCGATGAGGTCTTCTCTGACCAGCTCAAGGTATCCATGGCTTTTCTGCCCAGAGGCTTCCTAGCAGAGCATCAAATCTCCCAGCTTCCCAGGAGCCTCTCTAGCCCTTCGCTGTGGCTCTGGCTCTCAGGGCCTCTGTTTCCAAGGCTTCTCTGCCTGCAACCATGGTGTAGGCCTTCGCCTGCGCTTGCCTGGGATAAGGGTAGGAGGCAGGCAGCCTCTCCCAGGGTTTGTACAATCCCGGGGGCTCAGAACCCAGGCGGGAGAAGGTGCTGTTTGGGAAGTGGGGAAGGCTCAGGAACTGAGGACCGGGAGTAAGCTCCAGTAGGAAGGGACTGGGTCCTGGGCCTGAGGTCCAGGAAAGAGCGGGAGGCACTGAGTGCAGCAGGTGAGCATGTGGGTATATGACTGGGGTGTGGTATGTGTGACTTCATGTACAATGAGCCCCCCCCACTTGCCCCTACATCTGAGGCTGTAGTTGTGGAGTGTGGAGAGAAAGGGAAGCTGTTGCCAGAGCATGCCCTCAGCCCTGAATGGCCTGTGACAGTGACGCCAACCTGTGGGACCTAGGGGCAGATCCAGGGAGGAGTGAAATGTGGAACCAGCTGGGTTTAAGGTCCCTCTCCCTCTCCCCTGAGCAGGGCAGCCCCCTGCCTCCAGGACCCCAGGAGAAGCTGCTTCTGATAGACGAGCCCAGCTAGGAAGGGGCATTGGTAGAGGCACGTCATGGCAGTGTTGAAGGAGGCGTGCCCACTGCTGGCAGTCCGCACCCAGACAGGCATGCAGGATAGTGTCACCAGGGGTACCTCATGCTGGCAGTCCGCACCCAGAGAGGCCCTGGGCCCTGCAGACTGCATGTGGGACCCATGTGGGGGTTCTGGGTGGGGCTCCTGCCTGCGGTTGTGCAGCTATCTGGGATGCATGCTGGCCCAGCATGTGGTGATGCGGGCAGTTTTGTCCTGGCCACCTGGGGAGGCTTCTGCCAGTACTGGGCACACACCTGAGGGCAGCGGACAGATGTGGACTCCGAGGGTGACACCAATATTACAGAGGGAGAAGTGAAAGCGAAAAAAACCTGGGGCTTCCTGGATGGCCCTCCCGTGTCTGCCTCAAGGGAGGGGAGCTAGTGCCTGATCCTCCCAGCCCCTCATTAACCCCTTCCTGCTGGAACTGAGACCTGCTGGGTCTGGCTGGGTGGGCAGAAGTGCCAGAGTAGGGGACTCTAGGGTGAGCAAACCCTGGTTGAGGAAAGGGGCTCCTGGAAGAGGTGAGGAGCTTCACCCAAACCTGCTCTGTCTTCGCCGGGTCGACCCCTTTCTACCCGTTGGCGATACTCACCCGCGAAACTGCAGAGCCGGGGACCCCGCTGCTCAGCGCCGGGGCCCTCCTGGAGCCCTCGACTGAAGGGGCCCGAAGCGCTCGAAGCGCGAGGCCGCCGGAGCCTCCAGCCCAGGGCAGAGTGGCCGCCTCCGCCGCCCACCCGGGCTGCGCTTCTCGGAACCTCCCTCCGTTCCTCCCGGGGCGCCGCACCGCCCTTGCGCTCTTCGCTCCGCCGCCCCGCAACCCGCCCGCGCCCTCGCCGCCGCCGCCCAAGCCCCGGACTCGGACCCGCCTGCAGCCCGGAGGGAGCGCGCCCGCCCGCCGGCCCGCGCCCCGCACACCCCATCGCGCACGCTGCGCCGCCGCCCGCGGGAAGCCTTCCTCCCTCACCTGGCCCGGCCGCGGCTCCCTTCCGCCTCGCTCCCCCTGCCGGCCGCGCCTCCATTACCGAGAGGTAGGAGTCCTGGCGGGGCACCGGCCTTCGCGGGCCAGGAGGGCCGAACGGCCGGGGTCGAGAGCCGCCCGGGTCTGCCTTCTCAGGCCGCAGGCTGCCCCCTTTGCCTGGGACACAGAAGGAACACAAGGGCCGCATTTTGCGGCTGGCTGCGAAGTCAGGGTGACTATGGGACCATTTTACAGGCCCTAAAACCGAGGCTGGGTGTTGACAGTCCACAGTTAGGTACAGGGTGGACACTCGAAGTCCTGCGGAGGGCAGGAGGTGGGATGGGCTGGAGGAGGGCAAGACTGAGGCACCGCTCGGCACCAGCACAGCTGTAGCCTCTGCTTCCCTCTGGCCAGGCATGGGGTCCCACATGGGCGCTTGGCTGTGCCCTCCAGCACTACCCTAGGATGCCCAGACAGCACCCCCGTCCGACTCAGCATCTTTGGAGTTTTGCCTGAAGCAAGTCCTGTTTTCGAGGTTTTCTCGCCAGCGTGCTAGAGGTGCTCCCTGCAGGGTATTGACTAGCCAGCCGTTTGCCCGCCTCCTCCAGGGAGAGCACATGGCTCCCCCAGGGGAGCTGTCACCACAGCCACCCCTACACTCTTTTGGCAGGACCGCACTTCTCATCTCCTGTCCATTGTAAAGGCACGACTACAGCGCTGCGACCATGCTACCGCTGCTCATAATTCACTCAGAACTTCTCCACTCCCAACTCTGGAAGGACCTGTGCACCTTTGTGCTTCCCGGGAGGCAAAGCGCACAGATCCTTGCACTCCGTGCTCCCAAAGACGAAGGGCACACCAGCTGCTCCTCCAGCGCGGGTCTCCAATGCGTCTGGGGCAAATGCACACACTGAGGGATTCATGGAGGTGCCCACAGGACATGAGTGTGTGGCGCACTGGAGACCCTCCCTCCTCCAGGAACCAGAGTTTGGATCGGGGCAGAAGCAGGCTGCACCTCCCAGAGACAGAGAACAGCTCAGTTTTACGAGGTCCCATTCATTCGTTTCCGAATTGATCAGCCGGGAACTACCTCAAGTGTCTGCTTAGATTCAGCCTCAGGGATCTCAGAGAAAAGTCCTGCATCAGGAGCACACTGCGCCCAGGCTTTCTGCTGCAGTCAGTGACTCCACCCCAGGATGAGCCTTCAGCCTTCGGAGCCAAGTTTCCACAGGGCGGCAGCAGGGGCGGGAGGGAGGCAACCTTCGCTGGAGCCGGGAGAGAGGCAGGCACGCTGGGCGGCTCTGTCCCCACGTCTTGCTGCAGCCCACCACTGGTGCCTCACGGAGAAGAACGTTGGCCCCTGGGGGGCGCCCTATCATTCTTCCATCCAGTGAAGGTGCTTTGTCCCCCCCACCCCCGTGCCACAAACATGGCTTTCAGGGAGGCGCTGGCGTGGGTGGGCAGGGACCCCAGGCTCTCGAGGCGGATGGGTGGGGCTGCCATGCTCACATTGCCTGCAGGGTGTCTGTGCAGTATGGCCTCCTTACCCTCGGTGCCCAGCCATAGAGCTGGGAGAAGAACCTCTGGCTCCCCTTTGTAAAGGATCAAGCTCAGTCCACCCCAGGGTCTGTATCAAAGCCTGGTTTCCAATCAGCAGGCGCCGCACGTGGGGCACTGCTTGCCTGAGCCCTGTCTGACCACATACTTTGCATTTACAGACTGTCGGGTGCTGGGCTGGGACTGGGGGGGTGGTCTTCAGGGGCTTATGGTGTGGTCTGGGGCTGGGGCCAGAACGGAGGGTGGGGGTGGGTGGGCAAGAGCAGTTTCCTGCCCTGGCCCTGCGGTGCCCACATCTGGTCTCCCATGACACTGTCCCGCAAAGTTGGAGGAGGTGAATCCCTCTCTCCAGCTTGAAGACTCAATGTACCCAGAAGAGCAATGGCTCCATTGGCCTCTAACTGCTCCCTGGCCCTTTCCTCCTCATGCCCCTCCCCCAGAAGCAAAATTCTCTATGAGCCCCCCACTAGGCTTCCTCCTTGGTGCTGGGCTCTTACCCTAACGTCTGGTGGGCGGGGATGTGTGTCTGTGCCCAGCCCTGAGTTCTGTTAGGTGAGGCAGGCATCAGTCAGAAGTCCTGCCTATGGGCCCCAGGCCCACAGTGGGGTTCACGCGAGGGGGACTAGGGGCTCCGAGGAGATGCCCAAGAGCACCCAGCCAGGCAGATCTGATGGAGTTCTTGGCAAAGGTC